TGTTCTTATATATGAACAGAATACTATTCTTATCTTACTTATAAATTTAAATCAATTTCCAATGTTCGTAAGTGGTATATTACATTAAAAATCGATTTACGAACAACACTTTTAGGTTACAGGACGATTATATTACACTCTTCTGATTTCATAGTTAAATTATCTAATATATAAAGCTCAGTTCTGTAACGTGTGGCAAAAAAAAAAGTTTGTCGTTGACACTTCTACGGATTTAAGTGTTAGATTTTTTATCGTGCTCAAAGTCTAAATTTACGAGTCGAAAAATTACCATTGAAAGTCTTTAAAAACAATTTTCATTCTATTTACTTAGAAGAATAATTTTCAATTATGAACACGACATAAAATTTTTAAAAAGTGTATCGACGTTTATAAAATTTCTAAAATTGTGTCGGAAATGTATTGACTGCAAAGTTACTTCCCTTTAAAGAAAAATAAATCCTTAAGAAGAGAGAATTAACATTTTATTACTTTGTTTTTGGTGTTAAGAAAAAAAAATAATTACACAATTAGCGGGGATTGATTAAGTGCAATGTCGTTAGGTATTTTTAACACTGCCTTTTATTTATTCTATACACTGAACATACTGTTCAATAATTATTATTTTTTTTTTAAAATCAACAACATTTAATAAGCCAGGTCCTACAAATCATATACGTTTATTTCTTTCCATTTACGGATAAGCTTGGAGTATTATCATTTTTGTTCACTAAATTGAAACAGGCGCGTCCGCCGGCGCCCCTGCACGGTTTGATTTGGCACCCTGGGCTATCATGTGAGCGCTATGCTGCATAATTTTGTTTTAAACAGTGCGATAGACTATGGATAAGAAAGGTTACTATAGTCTTTAAGTGAATCAAATCCGGGCGTCCTCCGGCACCCCGACAGGGTGCTATTTGGCGCCCCGGGCCTTCCGGTGTACGCTATGGTATCTACGTTCGCGTGAGTTCAAAAGACTATAAATAAGTTATGCACTATAGGCGTTTACTAAGTTCAATCAGGCGGTGACGTCATGGTGCGTCCTCTGGCGCCAGACAGGGTGCTTTTTGGGGTCCCGGGCCTCCCGTGTTCGGTTTCGCGCCTACGTTCATTAAAGTGAGTGCAAAAGACTATGAATAAGTTGGGGTACTATAGTCGTTTATTAAGTTGAAGTAGGCGATTCAGCCCCGTGAGCACTTTGCGTTTATATTCGCGTTAGTGTTTTCTTTGTGTTTAGGTTGAGTTTGCGTTAGTGGTTGCGTTTTGATTTGGTTCGTTTTTGTTCTTTCTTTTTTCGTTTTCGTTTGTGTTTTATTTTCATTGGGTTTGTGTTTGTATTTGTGTTTGAGGTTTGTTTTGCGTTTGGATTTGGTTTGTTTTCGTTTGTTTTTTCTTTTGTGTTTTTTTTCTTTGGGTTTGTGGTTGGTTTTGCGTTTGTATTTGGTTTGTTTTCGTTTGCTTTTTCGTTTGTTTTTTTCTTTGGGTTTGTGTTTGTGGTTGGTTTTGTGTTTGGATTTGGTTTGTTTTCGTTTGCTTTTTTCTTTGTGTTCGTATTGGTGTTTGTGGTTGTGGTTGGTTTGTTGTAAGTTTTTGTTTTCGTTTGTATTTGTAATTGTGTTAGCGTTATGTTTGCGTTTTGTTGTTTTGGTTTTGGTTGGTTGTGGTTTGGGTGGGCAATGCCGGGTTTATGATGATTACTAAACACACAGGTGATGGTCTTTAACAGAAGGGTTTTTCACAGAAGCCAGAGCAGGGCCTGGCCGGGACGGCTAGTACTGTAATAAAGATGAAAATTGTAAGAAAGTTTCCTTGAAAATTGAGCTGTTTTGTTACAAATTCTTCCTTTTATTCTACGATTAATCCTACTAGAAATGTTATCACAACTGTTAAGTTTGACAGTTGGTGATATTGATAGTGTGTTAAATATGAGCTATATATAGGAAATGAGGGGGGGGGGGGCAGAAAGTTTGAGGACACATTGAGCTTTTAAAAGGTAACGTTATGAGGGGAACTGTAATTCTCGTTTCCAATTTTAAAATGTTGTTTTTATAGATTGTAGTAGAAATTGATTAATTTACTAAATTTTGACCAAGCTTTGAAAATAGATTATAAATACATAACATTTTAAGAAATAAATACAGCAAATTTGAGTGTTGTTTATTTTCTGGTTTGGGGGTCTAATTTTTTCTAGAAATTTTGATGATGGGAGCGGGAAAGGCAATAAACATCATCAAAAACCTGATGTCATTTGTGAATAACACTTTCTTATAGAAGACGTTACACAACTAAATTAACAAGAATCGTAAATAAGAACTATAATCATGATAATGTATGTAGTTTTGTTATAGCTCAGTTGTTTCCCTTAAAAGTCTACTGTTATGCACTGATTCGGTTTCAGTTAGTTTATTTATAAATGGGTGTCAATGCTGCTTTTGTGGAAGTACTAAATTCGTTCATCGATTTTTAAAAATCATTAACCATAGTGCTAAGCTAACGTGTGAACTATGTTCTTGTGGAAGAACATGTTTTGTAAAGAAGGGTGCAAAAAAAAAATCTATAGTGTTAGAGAAAAGTCTCGAGTTCGAATCCTCGGGCAGATGAGGCTGCTTAGCTGGGAACAGCTACTCTTCTAGGAGAGACAACTCCAAAATCAAACAACTGCTGCTTTGTAGTTTGTTCTTGGATGTACAAAGGCTATGGTTGCAAATCCAAAAAGAAAAGCAGGCTGAAATCGGAGTCAATGGCCTCAATCCTTAACTGTGATGTAGGCGTTGTCGAGTCGGCAAAAAGCTCATGGTTGATAAATTTGAAAAAGTCTCGAGTTCAAACCCTTTGGCAGATAATGCTCGATCTCTTCCAGCACTAAAAATTAAGAACGTAGAAGAAGTTCATTTAAATATAATAGGAGAATATTGTACATTAAACGTTGTATCTGGTCATTGTGTTTTAAATGGAGACAGTCTACAGTTTTTACAGTAAGTTTGAATAAAGACTCGAATCTCTTACAAGTTACATTCAGAACGAGATCTTTGTTCACGTGTGGTAAGAATTCACTTAGCATGGATTGATTGTATTTTAAGGAATGACGTAATATGCATGATACATAAATAAAAGTCATCAAAAACACTTGTGCATTATAGATCGCTTATGTTGTGGGCAGCTTAGAGGTAGAGCGCTAGACTCCTAACACAAAAGTCTCGAGTTCGAATCCGGGTTCAAGTCAGTGGAAAGTTTCTGAGTCCATCCTGTCCTGATGGGTACCTGACTCACGTTAAGGAAAGTAAAAGCGGCTGGAGCATCTTGCAGAGGTAAAAAAAACATGTGAACTTAATTTCATCTACCTAATGAATCATTATGTCTATAAATAATTTTTAATACGGACTGAACACAGCAGAAGAAAAATATTTTGCACGGTTTTGCAGTAGCAAGCTGAGAAGCGATATAGGATGCTGCACGAAAAAGAACAACTTTCTGTTCCGACATAAGGTCAAATGGACGTACTGATATATTTGCGTGCCTCCGTTGCCTTCTCTAGTTTCATCTACCCTGAGGCGTCCAGCTTAGCGCCACTCCTGTGATATCATAACTCATTCTCAAAACATAACCCTCCAGCGCAATCTTTTTTTCCCCAATTCTTTCTGAAAAGGCTTTTATTTCCATTTCTCCTGGTAATCTTTAATTGGAAATAGTGTTAGGCCAGATGATGCCTTTTATCTTTCGTAGGAAATTAGTTTAGAAATAACTCGTTGATTTTATAGTAGCTGTTACTTTCCTGCTTACGCCGTAATACAGAGGACACTTAGGACGTTTTGAAACTTCATGTTATGGTCTTTGAGGATAATATGTTTAATCGCCATGTTTTTTGAATGGTTGCAAAGGCTCCTTTCTATTTTTAAACGCGTGATATAATTTCAGTGATGCAGTTGTATACATAACTGACAATGCTGCCTAAATATGTGAAAGATTAAACAATTTACCGTTTAATTTGTTTCAGTAACATAGTTGGTTTTCACACATTCTAAATCAAGTGTTTCTATCAGGCATCACTTTGAAAGGGGGGGGGGGGCGGGGTGGCAGTCCAAACAAAATAGAAGGTAAACAACAAATATAAACTTTTATCGTCACCCGCGAATATAATTCCATTCCCCCCCTTCCCTTGCGAACGTTTCAAGTGCCCCCCCCCCTCCACACGGGTAAAAATAAACCGACAATTTCGTAGTGTATTTTTCATCATAAATCGATATACGACATGTAATTCTAATAGGCAATGTGTTTTAATCCAAGTACCTGAATCTATCACAACAAACTATGATATTCAACATTTTTCTACATATGTAGTCTATTGTCTTTCTGTTTATACAATTTAAAGTAACAGTCACGTCATTGCGATACATGTTTCTAAATGTATTTTTATGTACAGGTGCTAATATATATATATATATATATATATATATATATATATATATATATATATATATATATATATATATATATATATAAAATACATTTTAGTATATAATATCCTTAAGGTTTATCTAATTTCACAAATACTTGACAATATATTGTTATAATGGTCATTTATACCTCAGAGGCACCAATAGTATAGTTAATTTTAATCCATATTTAATAATTCTAGCCTTCGATATGTGTGTGACTAAAATTGTTACCGAACCAAATACTAGTGAAATTAACATATGATTTGTCTTTTAACATAATCGTTTTTCTTTTTTTCTTTTAAATATACTTGATGTAAACTCATTTCAACTTCATTTTTGTATTTTTTTTACATTTTAACAAATGTATTTATACATTTCTATATTTTATTAAAAATAAACAACTTGACAGATAAGAGTTTTGACTAAATTTCGTTTCCTCGCGTATTGGTCTGCCTTTTTTTTTAATAAAAAGAACGCCTTGGACAGGTAGTTTCGGAAAAACCCAATATTACGTTACAGAAACTGTTTTACGATAATGATACTGCTCTATTTTTATCTTATGAAATCATATTTCTCCTATAATAGTGTACATTTGACCGTTTTTATAATACGTTGAATTTAATAAATTACTTGCTTATGATATTTCTGAGATTAATCAGATACAGATATAGCAGGTTATAAGATATGCAATAAAAAGACAAAGTGATTACAGTTTGGTCTCTTGTTACTTTAAAATAAAACAGATAATAATAGTTACAGAACGTCGAATGAGCCTTTTTTTCTTTTTCAACTTTTTAAATTTGTTTTCTGCACATAGGTGTACCAAAGTTATTAAGAATACTAAATAATTTAATGGAATATCTAAATATTTGATATTTAATAACGAGTTTAAAGATGGCTGCGATATGATGGCCTATTAACATTGGGAATTTTCATTTTCAGTTTCAGTTCTTAAGAGATCGATATCTATATGTGATTTATTATGAACAATTTGAGTGATTTATCGTGTTGTTATTTGTTTTGGTATATGATACTGCGCTACTGCAATTAAGAAAAAAAACGGATGCCTTTTTTTCAGCTACAAATTGATATACAGTAGTATCGCTATACAACGGACGTAGTTTTTGTGTGTGTTTGAACAGAAAAATGAACGAAATGCTGAACGCATTGCTGAACGCAGCTAAAAACGGTCTCAACGATACAATAAAATCACATCTGGAAAGCGGCATTAGAGTAGATCATGTTAACGTAGATGGTTTGGACGCGTTGATGCTAGCATCACAAAATGGACATCATAAAACTGTAGAATTATTACTTGAAAGCGGAAGTGATTGTAATCGGGTTGAAAAAGATGGCTGGGATGCATTAATGCTTGCATCACAATATGGATATAATAAAACAGTAAAATTATTGCTGGGTAAAGGAAGTAGCTGTAAAAGAGTAGAAAAAGATGGCTGGGATGCATTAATGATTGCATCTCACAAAGGACATTGTGAAACCGCAAAATTACTACTAAAACACGGAAGTGATATTGATCGTGTTGAAAAAAGTGGGCTCAATGCATTGATGCTTGCGTCTCAATACGGACACGTCAGAACAGTAAAGATGCTTTTAAAACATTTATTCAAACTCAAAACACAGACGACTAACGGTGACCATAATAGTGCATTCGAAACTAATAATGAAACATATATTAAAAAAACGTTTAGTATTTATTTAGTAAATATTATTTTTCTGGCGTTTGAAGAGGGACATGTAGGAATATTAGAGACAGTTTCAGCATTTGTTCATTTTCATACGGATATGTCAAGCTTGGTAGGCCTGATAACGTTTCTTTGCAATTTGTGTAAAAGTTGTAAGTATTAAAATTAAATTTCAAATATCAATTATTGCTATGAAAGTGCTTTTAAGGCTGTATTCATTTTTTTACACGCTTTTATTTAGCTCGCAGCTTTCTAGTTACAATGCTTTTTTATCAAAAGCTTTGGTCGCTCATGAGAACTTTTACATATTTTGTCAAGAAATGCTTTTACTAAAAACAAGATATGTGGGTGGTGTTTTTTTAAGAAACATTATTTTACAGAAAAGAAAGCTACCGTATTGTTTGAGAAGAAAAACTATAAAAACATGTTTTTTTTTTGTTTTTAAACACAGATCTTTACCACACTAAAATCGATATTGATTTTGAAATAGAAAACGACCCGATATTAAATGCAAGAGAAAAGAAACTCTGTCATGATTTTAAAAGGTAAAATTTAATTGCAACAAAAAGGGTAGGCCTATCTCATTGAAATCTTAGAATGTAATTTAAATTGATATGAATAATTTTAATATAATTCTAACAAAACTTTACACCATATTTTATAGCTAGCTTTAATTTATTTTAAAGCTTTATAACAATTTTTTATTATTTGTATTAATTTATCATTTTTTTGTAATATGTTTAAACTTAAGTCTGTTGAACGTCTATTCAATATACAAATGTCACAAAATGGACACTACCGAGTTGACGAGAATCCTTCCACCATAATGTTGACATGGATAAAAATATATTTGCTTTTAGATTTTGCAAGCAAAACGACCGTCAAAAAAAAATTTAAACTTCAGCTGAAAATTAATTTAAAAATCTGATATTTTTAGAATCAATAGTATAAAAGTTGCAATTCCAGGAAACTTGAAAATAATGTTTTGAGTTTAAGGCTATATTTCTAGTTTTTTTTTCATCAAGCCTACGTTTTGACAACCCCATTTATTATAGTTATTTCTTTACAAAACGTTGCCAATAAAATTTTTAAATTAAATTATGCTATTGTAAACCACATGATATAGTTCTGCCATTTTGTTTTACATGGATGTCGTCGTTTATGCGTCATTACCACAAGGAATTCAATTGTTTTTTACTTTGTTAAAAATTGTGTTTAATAACCAAAAATACTAACACGTCTAATAAATCCACTCTGTTTTAGAGTCCAAAAAAACCCACAGTCAGGATTATATAACTATATTAATTTAAATAACACCCTGCTTAGTTGTTAAAATATTTTTTGGGGAACTAATAACTTAGAGATTATTCTCGGTAGTGTCAATAAAAATAGAATTGTATTGACATATTACTTGTCTGTTATCCATGTGTTTTATATATAGCGTGAATTTAAAATGTAGAATTGAAATTATATATATATATATATATATATATATATATATATATATATATATATATATATATATATATATATATATTTATTTATATATTTATTTATATATAAGAGCATATACATTTTATTATAACTAGGTCCATCAACAGTTATTTGAAGATTGCAGGAAATAATCAGGAGCATCAGGTTTTACATATTTAAAACATTACATTATATAATTAAACGTGACTCCATATTTCAAAATGTAAAATCGACAAGTGATCTCATTATACCGCTGTTTATGGTTATTGTAAAACATACTTACACACAAACACATAGAGAAAGACATAGGCGATTTAGGCCTATATGTGTAGTAGGCTAATCATTAAACTTACAATGTATCTTAGTAGAAACATTTCCAATAACATGTTGCGACTTTGAAACTGTAAACTTTCTAAAAAATATATATATGAGAAATGTGTATTCATAAATTGAAACAAACAGACTGTATTATTTTACTTTCGAAACAAACATAGATCGTTCTAAGTAGTGTAACTTAGTGATTACTTTTGTCGTAAGTCAATGATTAATAAAATTAGAAAAAATGATAACTTATCTAATATAAATTATATAAACAATCTTCTCATTTATTTCAGAATCAAGTCTGTAAAGATTTTAATAGCGATGTGTTGGATATAAAGATAGAATTTTCTAGAACAGGAGCGTTTGAACCAATACATTTTTTCATTATTCAGAAAAGCTTGAGTAGTATTTGCAATATATTAAATGCAGACATGACGAAACAGTTTTTTAATTTACTGTTGCAAAATGATTATGCAGGTAAATCATCTAATTTTTAACGAAAACAGGAACACTTTTGTTCATTAATGGTATAGTTTATATAATACATAAATATAACTATAACTATATATAAATATAAATATATAAATATATATAAATAAATATATATAAATTACATCATAATGTCACACCCCCACCCTCCACCCATGTCGGGATTTGTCAAATTTGCTCTATTTAACACTCTAATTACTTATTTATTTAAGTGGAATTATCATTTTTCTGTATATATTTTGCTATTTTTTGCCTTGGTGTCAGCCCCATAAATGTTGACACCCGGTCCGCACCCCCCGCCCCTGTCCCCCTCGCTACGTCTCTGATGATAAATATATTATATATTATATTATCTATATTTATAATTTTCTTCTTGGAGACGTTAGAAAACACCAAGCTGTAAGCGCGCCTAGCAGTCCCTTCTCTTCCTCTCTAGGCTTATACGGCTATTAGGGGCAGATAATTTAGTTTGAAACTATTTTAAACTTAGGGGAGGTAACTAACAGGAGGCTGCTTTCACGCGGGGGGGGGGGGTGGGGGTGGAGAAGGTGGGTTTTAGTGTTTTAAAGCAAATATTTTCAGTGGCTGCATTGGTACTGAGGAATTCACAAATTATGAATTACTGAAAAGTAGAAAATAAAACTAAATAGCGGCGTATGATACGCCGCGGGTCGGCTCGTATATTATAATTTTATTTTTATGCTATGTATTATACGTTTTTTTTTCGGTTTTTATAAGGGGAACCATCTTTTCTGTTATTTCTTTTTTAAATGTAGGGTAGAAATATTGAAATGTATATATGTATATGTCGCTACCTAAAATACTCTTTCGCCAAAAAGTTGGGAATTTGATTTTTTTTCACACCAGTATTAAAGATTTATTGTACAATTTTAAATGTTATCCAAATTTTAAATCGAGTCACAATAGTTCAATAGTGTACTAGTCATTAGTTGCTATTTTGGGATTAACGCCGAATATATTGTAGTTAAGTGCAGTAAATGTTAAATTATTTATAATGTTATATTATTTATAAATGATTTTGATAAAATAACCTTTACAGAATTGACTATTAAGTACATACAAGTAGAGCTGGAAATTTCAACACCATGCTTTTCATTATTTCTAATTCGCGATGTGCTTTTGCTGTTGTGGGAAGGAAGTCACTTCAGTTCTAAATTCGCTCTGGTAATTAAAACTTTTTTTTTTAAGTTTTATTTTTTCCCAATCAACAAATATTTTTTAATAATCGATTTTACTTAATAACACTAAAGACAAAACACATTTGTTTTCATTTTAAATAATCAGAGTTTAACCGAGAATCATCAGCTTTGATAACTATGTTTTAGACATTGGCTAAGCTGGGGGTAGTGCAGATTTTTACCAAGTTTCTGATGCAGCTAAAAGATCGACAGGTAAAATCTGTTTATAAATTCAATTAACTAAAAAAGAAATATAACATGCATTCGCTAATTAAAAAACAGTGCGTTAGACAATGGATAAGATAGGGCGTTACAGTCGCTTATTAAATTGTATCAGGCGTGTCCGCCGGCACCCTACTAGGGTGCGATTCGGCTGCGAACAAAACATTTCAGTTTTCGCACCCAAAGGTTGAAATGAGACGCTGAGGGCACTGTAATAATGTTTTTTTTGAATACTCGGAAAAATTAAGAAAGGTTAGATTATTAACTGGGATAAAATTATCAAAACAATTCAATCTGCTACAGTTCTCAAAATAATGAAAACATTTCCGTAAAAATGTATATATATATATATATATATCTATATATATATATATATATATATATATATATATATATATATATATATATATATATATATATATATATATTTATTTATTTATTTTTTTTTTTTTTTTTAATTTATACATTGCAAAATTAAATAATATTATGTTGCATGTTAATCTACAGAGTTCCGTTTTTTACTTTATTGCGAAAAGTATGATATATATTTTGCTCAATATTGCCAGAAGAGGTCACAAAGATTACTTTACCCGTCCGAATACAAATACAGTAAGTTTACAAAAAATGTTAGTGTTGTTAATTAATTAAACGAAGTGGAATTCAAATGGAACTGGTGTAATATATATTCTAACTTTTTAATGAGTTGTTGAATTCAGGTAATTTCAAACAAAAACTTGTAGACTGTTTTAAATTATTATTGTATTAGGATGCAAATTGAATTGCTAGAATAAAACACCATCACAATTATATATATATCTATATATATATATATATATATATATATATATATATATATATATATAATTTATAGGTATAGATATATAAGTATAGATATAGATAGATAGTTATAGGGTGCGCGGACCTTTGACCACAGGTGCTTTGACCATAAGGGGTTTGACCATAGGGGGTTTGACCACAGCGGGCCTTTGACCATAGCGGTGCTTTGAACAGTCTACAGTCTCTCCTCCAATGTAGTCACCCAACAATGTGGCGTTTCCTTGAAGGCCTACAGATGGACTGCACACGGCAAAAGACAACTTTCTTGCAAGATGTCGCAGGGGCAAGCTACCCAGCTGAGAAGCGATACAAGATGCTGCACGAAAAAGTACAACGTGCTGTCTAGACATATGGTCAAACAGATGTACTGACATATTTGCGTGCTATAGCACATCTGTCATTTCGTTAACCATTTTATGTATTACATCTTTGACTATATTGTTGGCAAGTTTTGTATCATTTTTATCCTTTATATATGCTATGTGTTTTCAAGTACATCTACATTATTTATTTGTGAAACTTGTTATATGTCGCATTATTTGTGTTTCATTTATATTTAAAATAAATCTATAAGGCCCAGCACCAGTCTTTATGTGGAGACTAAAATATAGTTCTTGGCTTTTTTAAAATACATGTTAATTTCTATTAACGTACTCTCAGGAAACTTGTATAAAATCGTGTTAATTGTATCACAACTATGATCAAAGCCAGACACAGCGCTTGTGGTCAAACACCAGTTGATAGTCCACCTGTGATCAAAGACCCTCTGCTGAGAAAACACCTGTGGTCAAACCCCCAATGGTCAAACCCCCTATGATCAAACCCCCTATGGTGAAGGCTCCGCTGTGTTCAAACCCCCTATGGTCAAACCCCCTATGGTCAAAGCCCCTATGGTCAAGGCTCCGCTGTGGTCAAACCCCCTATGGTCAAAGCACCTATGGTCAAAGGTCCTAGGACCAGTTATAGGTATATATATATATATATATATATATATATATATATATATATATATATATATATAAATGAGTATATAATTGCGCATATTGTTATGGGTGCTACATATGCTTATAATAGTTTGTTTTAATGTATATGAACAGGTAGTGTCAAATATGACAGCTCTCGATCAGGAAATCGCCATTCCTTCACAGATTTTGCTTTTACAAATTGCAGGAATTTCAAATAGAGAAACAGAGATTTATGGTACTTCCTTTTACCATTAAAAAATTACTAAATACATTTCAAATTATGCATTTGCTATTAATTAATATATGCACCTAATTATTTTAACGTGTAACTGTGTGTGTGTGTGTGTGTGCATTTATAAAATGAAGTAAAATATTTAATACTTTTTCTTACATTAATTTAAAACAAAAGTTTTGAATTGCAGATATTATAAAACGAATTATAATAGATATCATAGTGGAAAGTGTTAAAGGGAATAAGGTGAAGCTGTTTGGATTTCAACTATCTGAACTTATTCAATGTCTTGTGGAATATTTAGCGGATGACGATGATGATACAATTAAGGAGGTTGTATGCTTTTTTTTTAATTCTGACATTTGTATTTTTCAAATTTAAGAGCTGATTACCTAAACATAATTTATTTATTAATTTATCAATTTTCAATGCCAAACCTTGTGTCAAATAATTAAACATTTTAAACAAGGTCAACTGGACAATTTGTTTTTAATAATTCGACTTTTAATTCATCAACAGATCATTCCTCTTCTTCCTAAGCTAAAAGAAATACTATCATCAAGCAAACACAAAGAACAATTTTTTACTGCGGAATGTTTGAAAAAGCTAAGTAAACACATTGAAGCAAGGCATGAAATTAAAAATGACGAAATCTTTTATACTAAATTAGTAAAATTTTTAAAAACCAATGATAAGAATATTGCTGATGTTGCAAGGTCAATTTTGTGGAGAATTTACCAAACAACAGGATATTTTCCGTCTATATTAGGTAAAGCGTACTTATATTTTTGTAAGTTCAAAGCGAAATCTTGAGTTTAAAACTATCATTTTGTAGTAAGCTATGTAAAGTATCCATATTAGTAATTTCACAATGTTGAAGTCAGTTACTTTTGTTATCACGTACTAAAAATCATTCATAAAAATAAAGAATAAATCGCTTATAGAATCTTGCAACTCAACTCATTTAGCATATAGGTTGCACATCATGTGCAACAAAATGCTAAATGAATTTCAATAAATATTCCTTTTGTTTAATTAAACGACATTGAATCTAATATTTTAGATAGTAATTATTTTTAAATATGTTGTAGATTCAATCACATTTGTATGTGTGGTTTATTAAAACCTTTTTTCAACTACAGAAAAATGTTATTCTGACGAGTTTCCCAAGTCGTACGAGATTAGCGATGATTTCCTAGCACGAGGTGGTTTCTGCAGCGTCCATCTTGTCATCGATACAGAAAATCCATGCGATGAAAAGTTTGTTGCAAAGAAAACACTGGATTTTCCATTCATTAAAAAAAAGTTGTTGGTACATTAAAATTTGAATTTCGTTCAATTGTGATTCTCCTTTATATTTAGGCAACTTTATTTTAATATATAATAATAATCAGTTTTTATTGTAAAACATAAAATATCCAAATATACCAATATGGTGGTTAAAAAACATTATCAAATGCAAATGTCCTATTACTTTAAACATGACAATTTAACACGTCTTTTTAAAACTAACACTTAACTTATATTGAGCAACTATTCGATACATTGTTATGATAAAATAAAGTTACTAATCATTTGCCGCCAATTTTTTTCTTAAGCAAAGCAAACTAGTTTTACTTTTAAAGTTTTACAAGCATTTAAGTGCTTATTGTAAAAGTTTTGTTTATGTATTTTTTAATTTATCAGGAAAGCTTTCAGACTGAAGCGTCCATATTGATAAAGCTTACTCATGAAAGAATAGTTCAATTCCATGGGTATTCGAAGAATGAAAATGAAATGCTTTTATTTCTAGAGTACATGAAGAAGGTAAATTGAAGAGCCCAGTGCTAAAAGTACTTAAGTAACATTTTTTTGTGAAAATCAAACCAAGCATTGATCGTTATTCCTCTAGTTTAACTTTATCTTATAAACAAAAAGTGATACTGAAGAATTTATTTAATTTGCTCTTCCAAACAAACAAATAATATACAAACATAATGTTTCATAGTAAATTTTAATCTTTAAACTCATTTTTCTCAAAATGTTGTTTTTGTGACTTAAGTACTTTTAGCACTAAGATCTTCAATTATAACTATTATACGAAGAGCGAACAAAATTCTTTAAATGCACTGAATTAAATTATACGTAATGGATCTTTATTATTTTGTTATATTAACAGCAGTTATTTTGATTACGTTTCATCAAGTTACCAGACAAAACTATTAATAAAAATTAAAGAAATAATAGATTAGGACAATGATTATCTGATTTTAAGTAAATGTACGTACTTTGGTATATGTATGTATTCAGAAGTCATACATTTACTTTCTAAGCTCGTTGGACCCACTTTGCAGTTCTTTAATGGTACATCATTTCGATCGAAGAAGTACTAGCTATTAAATTAAAACTATAGAGATGTCAATAAAACAAAGTTGATTTTTTATGATACAAATATGCTCAACTTATTACGGTGTTTAAAAAATGTAATACATTTGTCTGATGTGTTAATTTCTTATAGCGATTAGGAGTCGCACTTTCTTATTCTGGTTTTAACTATGCTATTTAATCCTAATTAACTAGGGAACCTTGTCTACGTTTATTAAAAAACGGCAAAGACTTGATGAAGCTCACACTAGGCAAATAGCTAAACAAATTCTTGAAGGTGTCGAATATCTGCATGAACAAAATATTCTACATTTGGATATCAAAGGTAAAGATTAATTTTTAATCCTTAATTTACTTTTGATAAATACAATTACATTCTTATGAATCATTTTTTTTCTTTAAAGATGCTCATAATAATTAAGGTAACAAAGCATTAAATTAGTTATTGATTTTAAAAATTATTCCAACAGGTAATAATATATTGATGGTGGACGACTCACGTATTAAATTAACAGACTTTGGTCTCTCATCTATTCTCAATGAAGATGAAGGTATTAAGGCAGAAAGGGGCACAACTCGATATATGGCTCCAGAAATGATTAACTGCCCTGAGGGTAGAATTTTTAAGAACTTATCGAGTTTAGACATTTGGTAAGAGTTTATTATTTGATTAAAGAGTGTTAGCGTTTAAAAATACGATTTTATTATGTTTCTTACTTGAAATCTGAACGACGCACTTAGTTTTAATATGTCTGAAACAAAGTCAGGCATATGCGTGGATTTAGTTTCCAAACTAAGTACATATTATGTGATAACAGTACATTTTATAACATAGGAGTGTGGGCTGTACTGTTGTAGAGATGATCACTGGATCTCCACCAAACTCAGTAACAACGTCAGCTAGAGTGCTATTTAAACGTGCAACCATGCAGAAACCAAAGTATGAACTACCCGAATCAGCGTCACAAGGCTTGAAAGAGTTTTTAGCAAAGACTTTTGAAACTGAGGCAGAAAAAAGACCATCAGCAAGAAGTTTATTGAGGGAGGACCCATTTATAACAGGTAGTTGATTGGGTGATATTTTTTTTTTCGCGTTTGATGTCTCTAATTTTAAGGATACAAGATACACATGTTTTCGATAAAAGGGACAATATGCTCATATAAATTTATATTTTTTTATTTGGTACTGACACCTTTTAGCTATTTAACCCAAATATTTTGGATTCTATGGCCTGCAGTCATCCTTTTATTACTATATGTAACATGGTATCCCCACCCCAGGCAACTTTTTGGTGAACGGAAAAATGTCACAACTTCTGCTAGAAAATAAAGTAAAAATAAAAGTCGAAAAGGAAAAATGTTATCGAAATAAAAAGGGGAGTGATCTCCCCTAAACTTTCTTGAATATTCTTCTATTACACTACGGGAAATGGCAGCATGGGATGTAGACATGATTTTTAATCCATTTTCAATTACTTAAACTTTATAAAATAGAATATAATCTCGTAGAAACAAGAATTGCGTACCTAGCAAACGCCAATCAAAATGTGCATAGTAGTGCGGAATTATATTAGTACTTAATAAATTCACGTGCCTTTTTGAGAAATAAGAAATAGCGTAAATTGCATCTTTCGGTCAACGTAAATTACCCAAAAATTGAAAGAAGGCAGAGAATTAGATTTTTTTACTTAAATGTAAAATTTCATGTATCTGTCTGAAAAATTACTCAAGTTATAGGCTTTTCAAAAGTTGAAAGTACTAAAAGTTCCACTCCGGTTATCGGAAATCGCTGAAAAGTTGATAAAGATCAACTAATTTGATTTAATACTTATTTATGAAATGTCACGAACCTAGTTGTAACGGTAGCTTACTCAAGTTATCGTGTTCACAGACACACAGACACACACACAGACATACGGACAAGATTGCAAAACTATGTTTTTCCGACTCTGGGAGGTGTAAAACGTCGAGATTTTAAAAAATCTCGATTTTTTAGCACGATTACAATACTTTCTCTATACTTCGTATACGAGAAAGTAAACACAATTCTTTTAGGAAATAGTTTGATTTAATTGTTGTGAATTGTTGAATTGTTGGTGTTTATTGGTGTGGGTGGGGTTTTTTAATTTTTGGTGGCATATTTAGAAACTTTATAGCATTATCGTTATGTAGTCATCAGTATAGTTGGTACATGATTTGATGTCGTTGATGACTGCAGTGAGAGGTTAAACAGTTTTGTGGTGTTTTAGATACATCAGCAGTATATTTCTCAATTGTTAAAGGAGACACCAACACAATCTCAACTCAGCAACTTTAGTTTTATGGATGGTGAAATTAAAACTTCGCGATACTTAAAAAGCGACCAGTTATTACATAATCGGATATAGCAGCGAACATAACTCTTGTTATAAAATACGTCAGAACAGCGAAAAAGAACTTTCTCAAAATGTATTGTGAATTTTGTAACATATATGATTTTCAAAGGATGCAGATCTGTTATTTTATAGCAATATTATAACATCACGACCCTGTTACAAGTTGTCTCTGTATATCGTCAAACTCGTTGTTGTCAAGTTTTACGTAGATCTACATATGTTGGAACTGTTGTATTCAAAATCCGTAAGACAGAAAAGTAACTATTAGCTTATTTTCAAGTTTTGTGCAGATATTTCTGAGATACATTTTGTACATAAATTAGGACTTTCACTTCTTTTGACTACATAACTCCACTGCCAGTGATGACGTATCAGAATAGAAGAATTTACTAACCATGTTCAGCATTGAAGTAAGTCTACAGTGACAAGTTCGAGTGACTAAATCGTCGTTGTTTAAAGTATATCTGAACTGTTATAATATTAACTATCCCTACATCCCGGATAATGTGAAGTATCCCTCAATCCTTGATGATGTAAAGTATCCCTACACCCCTGATGATATGAAGTACTCTTACACCCATGATGTTAAAATGAAGTGTCGATGTCATCCCACCGAATGTCCAGATATCCAAGCCGACGAATTTAGATTCATAAATAATAAGCTCTAATATGTTCTAGTTATAATATCAAGCGTTATTACTCTTCTGTATGTCAGATGCCCAAGTTTAAATGTCGGTTAAGTATTTCTTCTATAGTTGGGATTATTAACTGCATTTGTTAGAAGTTAGCTTACCTAAGTAAGAATCATAAAGTAAGGGCATTTTACAAGATAATCATAACTTTTACATTTATTTAGGCCCACCTTCAATGACCTGCTTAAAAAATCACAAAATTTCACTTTTTAGATTCCACAGACAAGAATTGTGAAACTTTAATAATACCAATACTACAGAAACTAGTTCTACTTTCAGATAATTGTATGCAGAGGATTTATGTTCTTAATTGTGAGATAAATGAACACTGTAGCTTAAAGTTATTTTTTTTTTGTAGAATTTTTGTGTTTTGTTAATCTGGTAGTTCAATTGGAGATAAGCTTATGCCGGTTGATATTACCGCTTGATAGGACGATGATGGTTTTTTATGATGGTATCTCGATGATGTGTTGCAGAGTATACCTTTTCTATTAGGTTTTTTTTTTGTTTCTTTTGTTTTTGGAATCTCAATGAGTTTTTGTATTTTGTAGAGAAACTAATTATAATTATGGCTATATTACTTAGTTTTACCATTGTGAGAAGTATATATAGTAGATATAAGTTGATGCTTATTATCTATTGAAGACTACGTAACCCTATCATGCTGAAATTATACGGGTGTATAACCAATAATAATATGTGTCGTTAGATACATATTGTCGTACAGTTAAGGATAGATATACTACGGAAATGAGTTACTATATTAAAAAATGCAATGAAACAATACCTTAGAGATTAATACTAGATAAGGCCTATATAATACTGCATAGGGATAATATTAATATTACTTAGTACCATTTATTATTAATTGTTTGATCTTCATTGTTTATACTACAACACTGTACACTGTCACTCTCTTGTGGAAACACCTGATCGTCCTGGGACGTTGTGAAGTGTATTTTTTCTACATATGCTATTTTCCACTATTTTATTGTATTAGTTGTTGATGAATCAAAATGTATGTAGAGTGTGAGCCTCGCTGGCTTTGTCAGCTTGTCAAACGAGAAGGGAAATGTTAAAAATGGGATTAGCATAGGGTAAGGAACTTGGGTAAAATATAGTTTTAAAGTTAATTATATGTTTGTGCATGCTGTTATGTTGTGTATAGGTTAGATAGATCATAATAGTTGTATTAGAAATAGTCCTTAGTGTGTTTGACTGTACTTCCCCCTCACTAGATACAAGTCTGAATAGCTTGTAGTTGTACCAGTCGTAAAGAGTTAATGCATACACAGGTTAGACACCCCGCCCCTCGTGAGACTGCTGGGGTCAGGCAGAGGTTGGGTTACATTAGGGTGAAGCTGGGGGCGGGAGATTGAATTAGGTTAGTTGAACATTAGCCTCGTAAGGATGTAGACGTGTTTTGTTTTGTCAAGTGTGGTAGGGCTGGTCCCTAACGCCGGCCGCTATTGATGAACCCGTTTTTCCTCTTCTTTAGACCATACTAGGACTATGATGAAGTGTTTAGTTTCACCATCAATTACATTAAAGTTGCTGAGTTATGATTGTGTTGGTGTTTTCTGTAACAATTAAGTAATCCACTGTTGATGTGTCTGAATCACCACACAACTCTTTAACCTCTCACTGCAGTCATCAACGACATCAAATCATGAATTCATAACAATTATGTTTTATAAAAATAAAATAAAATAAATATACTATAAGTTAATTTACCCAACAACCTCAACTTTTGTTACGTATGTAGTTAAATACGCGGTAAAAATTAAAATAAGAAATAGCACAGATATAGAGATATGCTAAGAACGTAAATTGCAATTAATGTAAAGTATCAATGAAAACAAACTACTAGAATGCTAATAATTATTTACTTCATCATAAAATTAGCTGAACGTTATTTCTTTATGCTTTCAGATGTAAGTGACGTTGAAAGAATGTAACAGTAATACCTTTGAATTTGTATCTGATATGGCTTGATATTAAACGGTTCAGATAGTGATATAATCTAAAAAATTGTTCAATGTTATATTAAAATAAATTGCATTTATTTAAAAGAAATGAGTTTCCATTTAGAAAGTAAGGAAAACTAAATAAATTACAGTGATGTGTTCTGTTTTTTTTTTAAATTTACATGAATGTAAACTTTTGTTTATGTATTTTAATTCTTTTTTGCACATTGGTGAATCGGCATTTTAATTTTTCTTTTGGCTCGTGTAGAAAATAAGGCCAAGAAATGATTTGCCATAATCCTCCATATATTGATTTATTTCTTTACAAATAAATTACAATAATGTGTGCTGTTTTTTTAAATTTACCACAATGTATAGTATTATTTATATGTATTTTAATTAATTTTGCAAATTGCGTGAATCACCTTATTTATTTTTTCTTTCGCTCCGTGAAGTCAATAAGACAACAACAATGTTTTGCAATAATAGGGGATATTTTTATTTATTTATTTACAAATACATTACAGTGCTGTGTTCTGTTTTGTAATTTACCAGAATATATTCTCTTATTGAATGTATTTTCATTTTCTTTCAAATTGGGTGAATATGATTTATTTCTTTACAAATAAACTACATTGCTGGGTTCATTTCGTTTTTAATTTACAAAATTGTATACTCTATTACTATGTATATAAATTATTTTTGCAAATATCGTGAATCACTTTATTTTACATCCTTTGGCTCCGTGAAGAAAAGAAGGCAAAGATAAATCTTTGTTGTAATACTCGATTTTATTTTGTTCCGTTTAATTACACCTCGGCGTAGGACGCATTGTAAACTCATTAATATTTGAGTTCAATAATATTTTCATATTGGCATATGAGGGGAAAAGATGCTACAGCAAATTAAAATGTATTTTACTTAAGGCAGATACAGATAAGAATTGTGCAGGAACATTATCGTTCCCTCACTCAAGAGCGTGAAAATGGCAGTATACATCTGTGTGAGGTGTATGGTCTACCACACGATCATACATCTGTGTGAGGTGTATGGTCTACCACACGATCATACATCTGTGTGAGGTGTATGGTCTACCACACGATCACGCTATTGCAGCGTAGGTTGAGCGCATTTTATAAACTGACAATACATTTCATTTTCTAAAACTCATGTATAAACTCGCAAAAACTCGTCATCCACTGGTTGTATTTATGGATATCACAACAACTACATAAGTAGATTTTTTTTATCTGTAACTCAATTTTCCTTATTTAATAGCATGTCAATATTGTGATCATCATAAGTTATACTGTATTTATGTCTCTGCTTTATTTGTGAACTGAATTAAATGTTAATATTGATTTCAGTTTAAAATTGAAAATTGATACTTGCAGTTTTAAATCAGAAGATTACAACTACAAAATATTCGCTTTCATTACTTATTATTTTGTCTCTCGCAGATATCTCCACATTTGGGTTATATTAAAGGTTAATTATATAAGTATCTAATAAATATTACTTTGTAATACATTTTGAAAATGTCTTATATGGTTTGCAATATACACATTGTTAAAAGCTATCCATTAAACAAAAATATTATTGTTATTTATTTTTCGGCCTGAATAATTGGTAATATATTAACTAAATTTAAAACTAAAATATTATAAAACGCTATCAACTCTGATGGGTACCCCTAACTCACTTAAGGGAAAGTAAATGCGGCTGGGCATAGTGCTGACCACACTATCTCTTCATTTGCCGAGGTCACAGAAACAAGTGAACTCTACTTCACTTGCCTTATAGACCGTCAGGTTTGAAAAGGAAACTTTTTCACTTTTTAAAATCAATTTAATGCAGATACATTTATGTGTATACTTAAAAGACAAAACATGTATGAAGGTTACCTTTTTACAAAATTCAGAAATATAATCAGTTTGAATAGCTGAAGTGTTACAGTAGTTGTGATTTAGTTATATCTTCAAATTTTAAAATTTACTACACTCCCACACTTAAGTTAGCACATTATTTTGTGTGTTTTAAAAGACCACTTACAGGCTACTCTTAGCACATTACCTACACTCTATTTTAACACATCACTCTCACGGTACCGGTATCCAATCAGCTACACTCTAACTATATAATCAAAACCACCCCGAAAGCCTTTCGTTATACCAGCTTTACACAGTTGCTTGGCTAATAGACAGAACATTTTGACATTCCAACACACATGTTGCACAGCTGCCAGCCTAACACACGAAATCACTGGGGCGTTTAACACGAATCTTTATAAATGACTACACGCTACTTTTAACACATATTCTACACGCAATAAAAATCATCACCTGCACGCTATTTAAATCATCACCTACACGCTACACTTAAAATATCAAGTACACGATTTTATAATTCATCACCTGCACGCTACCTTTAACAGATCACGTACACGCTTTTCATAACACACCCCACCGCCTACACTCTAAACTTAACACACCACCTACACTCTAAACTTAACACACCACATACATGTTCTTGTTAAAACATCATCTAAACTCATTTTTATCTAAACATGTACACCCTATTCTTAACACATTACCTACACGATGAACTAAACACATCACCTACACGCTAAACTTAACACATCGCATACACGCTAAACTTAACACATTACCTACACGCTAAAGTTAACAAGTTACCTACACTCTAAACTTAACACATCATCTGCACGTAGCAACACACATACCTTCACACGCATCGATCCCCGTCTCAAAACGTTTTATAAATTAGTAGCTTTTAATGTTACTATCATCTTGACTGTGCAGTACTGTCACACTCAACATGCCACAAAGGGCATAGGTTGTTGATTATTAACAGAATATCTTGTTTACCATTTGGTTTTAGATTTTGCTATTCGATTTTACAGAAAACTTTGTAGAACTATAGGAACTTAGAGAGTAAAGTATTTTTTTTAACCAGACAGTCCATGAAGCAGGTAAAGTAGTGTTTAACTGTTTTAATGACATTTGTATACAAAGCGATAGTTTCGTCAGCATTTTGTCTTTATTTTTCCTGAATGTGTCAGCTACCCTTTTTAGTTAGTTTCACAACTCGAGACTTTCGGGTTGGCTGACTTATGCCCTACCATAAGAGCAAGGCGTCCAATATATTGGCTTTAGTATTTATAATAAAATAAAATATTTATAATAAAAAAACTATCTTAGATTTTGTGTTGGTATAAGAAAGAGGCGTAGCGACCCTTCCCAGCTCCCGGGGACAATCTTTCGATTTGCACCCCCGTCAAACTTTCGATTTCTTTTTCCAACCCATTTGGCGTCACCTGAGGTCGGCGCCCGTGGACATGTGTCCCCCCCTGCCCCCCCCCCCCCATCGCTACGCCTCTGGTATAAGCAAATACTACCAGCTGTAACGACGCAAGTTGTACATTAAAAATAGATTAGAGGTCAAGCAGAAGAAAGAATAAACATAGCATAGCTTAGTCAGGTAGACAAATAGAACTGTATGAGATGACCGGTCACGTGAGACGGTCAGATGACCACTGAAGCATGTGTCAGCAGTTGGAGATAGGTAGCGCTAGAGAAGGGTTGGTGAGTAGAAGTCTTTTATTAGCAGACGTGTTAGGTCTGACGCAGTTGACATGTGGAGTATGTAGATAGTTAAAATGTAGATAGTATTAAAGTTGGTCATGGGAGCGTGTAGGGAAAAGTCTATTGTTTGTTGCAGTTAGATAGTGTTAGCAGAGAGTCATGTGTTGAAAGTAATCATAGTAGGAGTCTGAGATTGATTTGTAAATAACCCGCTGTAGTATATCTTCAATTTTAATTGTTGTGTTTGATTTCACAAAACGTGCCAGGCTACATAAGACGATAGCAAGATACGATCCCCTGACTTGAATGTAATATAGTATACATGAAGGTATACACATTATATATATATATATATATATATATATATATATATATATATATATATATATATATATATATATATATATATATATATATATATATTTTTTTTTTTTTTTTTTTTTTTTTTTTTTATATATACACGTATGATCAAAACCACCCCGAATGCCTCTCCTTACACCAGCCTTACACACATTTTGACATTCCAACACACCAGTTGCACAGCTACAAGCCTAACACACGAGATCACTGAGGCATCGCAAAAGAACGTTTTCTAAGAAAATCCGAACAAAGGAAGTGCGCTTCTATGGTGTCTTTTATTATGTTAGCTTACGTATTTGCGCTTCCTTGTTACGACAACAAAGAGACAAAAACATCAGAGGCGGAACTAAAAAAAATAAGGGCCATTCTGCAAACAAAAATGTTGTGCCACAATATATATGTGTATATATATATATATATATATATATATATATATATATATATATATATATATATATATATATATATATATATATATATATATTTATATATATATATATAAATATATGGTTTGAACCTTTGCCTTTCTTTCACACTACAACTTAGCCAGTCTTAGCTACTGTAGAAGATCACTACTGTAATAGATCTGTTTTCTTTTTTTTCCAAAACCACTATCTTGGCTTGTTGTTGGGGCGCTAGCTTGTACACACTACCTCAGCACGCCCTGGTTTACGCTGATGGTGAAATGAACACCCTTCGAAGACGGCCTTGGTGTCAGAGGCGTCACGGGACTCTTGGGACACGGTAACCGGCGGAGGTCCCTAATGCAGCCAGACTGATGATTCAAGTAGTACACCTATCCCCCTGCGCATTACACCCAATAAGCGGACCCCAGGTGCTTAGATAGCCACTGGAGATATCTGGGCGCTCAACTACACATTTTATACAAATGTTAGCTTTATGAGTACTCAAAAAACTTACCAAATGTTACCGAAGTTGGGATGGTCTCAAGGGAAGGAATTCAAATTATACACGTTAACTATCGTATTTGCTTGCAAAAGAAAAAGAAGTAAACGTACATAAAAAAAGAAAATAGTACAGAATAGTGTTTCTACCAATACAACAAACGACCTTTTTACATTATAAAATCACAATGGATTGTGGGCCCCTAATGAATGTTATAGAGAAGCAAAATTCGTCTTAATACCTAGCAGCCTCTCACGTGATGGACTTTGATTTAATTTTTTTTTTAAATTGCTGACCACAGCGTGTGTTTGGTTTTTGGAGAAAGAGGACTCGGGATGGTGTCTTTAGAATAAAGATAATCCAAGAGCATCTTTAACAAAACAACCATCAAGTAAAAAATGCAAGAATATATTTTAACTATAAAAAAAAATGATTATGGTTGGTTGTGTGCCCCTTAACGGTCTTAACCTCCTGGTATTGCGGGGTCTGGTTGCATTGTAGTTCCGCCCCTGATATACATATTATGTCTTATATACACATTCAAAAGAACATTGACTAATACGCATTTCTCAAAACAGGAATTAATACATACTTAAAGATATAACTAACCAACCGACCGTCCGATCGACCGACCCACCGACCCACCGACTAACCGACCAACTTAATTACAGAATGTCATTAAACAAGAACCTAGACTATTAATCTGCTGTGCTAAGAAACTAAAATACTAGCAGGCTGATGAACTTACTGACCAACCGACTGACTGACATCTAAATGCAACTTTGTTTTCTAAGAA